ACACACTTATACATATACACATACATACATATATTCTCAATATAAAATCAATATATATGATTCTCTCCTAGATCTTTGCAAAGTACATTTTCTATTTTAATAAACGAGCATAAGAGTGAAATTAATGTAAACTTTGCTTCCAATCTGTCTACACTGGCAAAACAGAAAAAAAAAGAAAAAGAAAAGAAAGTTATCAGAATGTTTCCGATATATCATTATAACAAGTAACTATGCTTCCATGAAGAATTCAGAATTCAGCAGAAAACACAGCAGATATCCACAGAATTCACCCTTCATTTGCATTGCTTTTAATTTGATAATACCTTCATCTAAACAAGGTTCTCTGAGGTCCATTTAACACATCTGATCGTATTTAAATCCGCTGCACAGAATTCAGCAGGGAAACAGATTGTTTCCCACAATTAACACAGATAATGTGGGAAAAAAATGTGTAGATTCCATACGGGCTTGCATATTTCATACCATAACAAATCATGAATGTGTGCATGTCTGCTAACCTGGGAAAAGTACAGGGCATGTGCAGCCTCGTGTGGTCCAAGACTCGGGATAAAGAGTCCGATTTCCATGAGAGAGCCTGAGGCGCGAGTTATCCCGCAACACCTTAAGAACCTTAACATCCACCTCTGCGTGAGAGCCCTTATCATGAGCAGCCAACACTCTCACCTTCACTGCTGCAATCCCACAAGAAAACACACATTACATCAACTCAACAGAACATTGAGGTGAAGTGAGTGCACAGAGACTGTTTTACATGCTACTTACCATAAACATACTTTACACTGCAGAATATTTTGCTGTTTCCAAGTGCTTGCTGTTTGCATACACATTTGTCTGTCAAGAAAAGAAATACCCACCAATTAAAGTACTGGCTGTCAGTTTCTTTCTGTTGCTATGACAACCTAAAAACAGAAATGACATTTCAACAGCACATGCCTTTATCCCAGACGAGACAATTAACTTTTTATGGGAACAAGACAGCGCTGTTATCAGCTCCAAGATTTTCATTTAATACCTGGATGACTAAGGGCGGAGAAAAGCTCTTCTGTTCGAAACAGATGATTTTCTGCCGTGCTGTTGTGATCGGATTCTAGAGACCTAGACAACAAACACACATAGAGCACGCATGGTTATGTATCTATAAATAATGTACATTATAATTTTAGCTGTAAAAGAAATGAAAGTGATCAAACATTTTATTTCCATATAAAATCGGTTTTATTTTAAATAAAGTAAGCACAAGCACATTTTCTGAGCAAGAAGTGTCAAAGACGTTTGGCATGTGTTGAATGCTAAAACATAAACTAATATTTAAAATGAAGACAAACAGCATTTGGAAACTTGTCTTGCTCTGATTGTCTTACTGGATCATTTTAATGTGATGAACTACACCTATAGTTGAAGTTGAGGTGAACTGCCATCATAAATTCACAAAAAATCAGAGATCAGCTGGTGAAATGTTATCTTATCACTTAATTTAATATTTGATACCAGTGTGGTATTTATGAATATTTTTAATTTGTTTTTATTTTTATATTTTCAGTTTTCATTTTAATTTCCTTTTCAGTAATTCTGGTCATTTTTATTAATTTATTAGTTATATGTCTATGTAGCTATAATTAATTTTTATTTCAGTTTTATGTACATCAACTTTAACTTCTGTTAGTTGCTAAGGCAACATTTCTAATTTTAATTTTACATTTTTTCACGCTTACATTTTTCATCTAATATTAATTTTTGTATATTTTATTTCAACTTTATTTTAATTACAAATAATGTATCTTTAAATAAAAACACTGATTTTGTCAAATTCCTTGTAGTCTCATGCATAAGATGAAAATGACAGTAAAAACATGCCCTTTAAAAATATTAAACAACCAGAAAAAAGGTTCATAATCACCTAATCATACAGTCTCCTGTGTAAGGGTCACAATCACCAGCACACTGGCAGGGCTTGCAACCATATTCATCGAAACCCCAGTATCCCAGCATGCACTGGTCACAGTGTGGTCCAGCCACCCCCGGCTTACAGACGCAGTCTCCATTATCAGGGTTACAATATGTGGAACCAGCACGGTTACACACGCAAGCTGCAATTCAGAAAGGAAGAACGTTACTCAAATCACACACATCAGATCAAAATATATTAGTGGTCCTTTCTGAGGCTCGGAACAAATTTGATATGTTTTGTGCTATGTAATGAGTTTCTCAATGAATAGAAGGACACAAAGACTGATGTTTTGCATACGCAGTCAATTATTATGAGCCTGTGTCATCTGATGATTAATCTGTCTGCCTCCACATACACAATAAGCGCGTTTACACTCATGCTGAGATCCCATCACTGTTCTTGTTACTCTACATGCCCCAGCTCGCCGTAAGAACCATTAGCATTCCGAGCAGAAACAACATTCAATACCAAACATCCCCTCAATGTGTGCTACAACATCGGACATGTTCGCTGATCTGGTGAGTTCCTGAATTTTGACATCATCTAGGCCAAGCTGTACACGTAAACAGATACTCAACAACTCACGCACACGCTGAAGAAAGATGGAGATCAGGAACGGAAGTGTACAGCAGGGAAATCATAGATACTCCACATGCCATTTTAAGCAGCTTTTCAAAATCTGAGATTAATGGCTTTCATCTCAGTTCAAGACACAAATACACACACACACACTAAAAAATATGACCAAGTATAAGGAACACTGCATCCAATTTTTTCACACTTTGACAGCTGTTTTGTTGTAGTTTAAATGAATATTGTATAAATGAGCCCATGTTGATCAGGCATTTGAATGCTGGTTTACACAACAGTTGTGAGTGATGCATGATTGTGTCTTACATCTGCAGGAATCCGGGGCAGTCGAGGGTCTCTCTGGGTCTCTGTAGAAGCCGCTGTGGCAGTGTTGGCAGTGACGGCCGCTGGTGTTGTGAAGGCAGTCACACACACCTCCACTCCGCTGACCCGAGCGTAGCCATACGGTTTTGTCAAAGTGACAGCTCTCTGCGTGGCCGTTACACTTACACTCTACACAATGAATACACAAATACTGGGTTATTACAAACAATAATCAAATTACAGATTACATCAGATTTTTTCTGACAAATTGGTTGCCAGGTCTGCGGTTATCCTGCAAAACTGGGCAACTTTCAACTGCTGTGTCTGACTTTTTATTCTATGGCCTGTAGTTTGAAATACTGGACAAATTAGATGATAATCTGAAGGTTTTTGACCAACCAACAAAATTCCAACTGCAGCTCAAATTCCGAATGCTTCCGATAACTATTGGACACTAAAATCCACATTTTAAATTTAAGTAATGGGCTGGTTTTGGTCAAGTCATGATTTGTCACAGAACTCTCTTTAACAGATCTGGCAACCCTGCCATAGAATTACACTGAAGGAGGTTACAGAGCCATATCTACACAACTACAAACTTATAATGTTACAAAAGATTCTATTTTAGATATTGTTGAACGTTCTATTCATCAAATAAGCCTGAAAAAAATGTGGCACCATTTCCACAAAAATATTAAGCAGCACAATTGTTTTCAACATTGATAATAAAAAGAAAGTTTTCTTGAGTAGCAAATCAGCATTATCAGCATATGACACTGAAGACTGAAGTAATGGCTGCTGTAAATTCAGCTGACATCACAGGAATAAATTACATTTTAAAATATATTATAACAGAAAAAAGTTTTTTTTTTAATTGCAATAACACTTCACATTATTACTATTTTACTGTATATTTGATCAAATAATTGCAGCCCTGGTGAGCATAAAATATTTATTTCAAAATAATTCAAAAATCTTGCAGACCCCAGACTTTTAAACAGTAGTGTAAGGACCAGAATATCATAGAGACTGGTCAGCTCGTTTTACTTTTTCCAGTATCAAACAGTCACACATTCCACCTTCAGTGTTGTTATGTCCACGTCAGTTCTTGGTTTTATATATGAACTGAAACTTACTAACACACTGGTGAGCTTCTCCAGTTAACCCGTTAGCTGGTTGCCATGGTCGGTCGTTATAGAGGCGATCACACCGTTCACAATGATCCCCAGTCGTGTGATGCCGACACACACATTTACCGTGCACCTGTGGCAGAGGCCAGAAAACACCATTGACAATACAATGACACATTGTTACACCTTCACCTTAGCAGACCTCAGTTCAAAGGCTTGCTAAAAATCTGCAATCAGAGATTTACTAAGCTGATCTTCAACATGCTCCAGCATCAACTGTGTTCATTCTAGTGCCAAATATGTTATCATACTGCATACTTTGCCAAACTATAAACCAAATAGGATTGGCCAACTCCCAATACCTTTTTGTTTTCTTACTAGAACCTACACTTGGCTAGTTTTTTTTTCCCCTCGATGGACCTCACATTGTTTAAATTGATCATTAGATTCACTAGTTTACCGTTAACTTAATCATTCAAAGGTTCGGGGTCAGTAGTTTTTTTATTAATAATTTTGGGTTAAACCGATTAAAAATGACAGTAAGGACTTCTATACTGTTTCAAAAAAATAAAAATTATATTTCTAATAAATGCTGTTCTTTTCAACTTTCTATTAATTAAAGTCTCACGGTTCCCACAAAAATATTAAGCAGTGCTGTTTTCAACATAAAAAATGTTTATTGAGCACCAAATTAGAATGATTTCTGAAGGATCATGTGACACTAAAGACTGGGGTAACGATGCTGAAAAATCAGCTTTGCCATTACAGGAATAAATTACACTTTATATTCAAATAGAAAACAGTTATTTCGAAGTGTAATAATATTTCACAATATTACTGTATTTTTGATTAAATAAATTCATCCTTGATGAGCATAACAGACTTCTACAGAAGTGACTTTTTTGAGAAAAATTCAGAATTATGAGATATAAACTAAAAATTTTATTTTTTTACATCTCACAATTCAGTTTGTGAATTGAAAAACAATTCAGTTTTTTTTTTAATAATAAGTAATTGTGACTTTTTCTCACAGTTCTGACTTTTCTTATCTATAGATCACAATTCTGAGTTCATATGGCGCAATTCTGCTTTCATATCTCGCAATTGCGAGAAGATGCAAGATAACATCACAATTACCTTCAAAATTTTCCCCCAAACTCTGGAACGGTAGTGTAATTGAGAACATTTTGATGGATTTTTATGATCTGTAGTCGTTCTTGCTAAGGCCATCCATCTTACTATCGCTCTACCCCTGATTAGAGATTTGAAAAGAGCCCTAATTCTGAGCATAACAGACTTCTACAGAAGTGACTTTTTTGAGAAAAATTATAAACTAAAAATGTTATTTTTTTACATCTCACAATTCAGTTTGTGAATTGAAAAACAATTCAGTTTTTTTTTTAATAATAAGTAATTGTGACTTTTTCTCACAGTTCTGACTTTTCTTATCTATAGATCACAATTCTGAGTTCATATGGCGCAATTCTGCTTTCATATCTCGCAATTGCGAGAAGATGCAAGATAACATCACAATTACCTTCAAAATTTTCCCCCAAACTCTGGAACGGTAGTGTAATTGAGAACATTTTGATGGATTTTTATGATCTGTAGTCGTTCTTGCTAAGGCCATCCATCTTACTATCGCTCTACCCCTGATTAGAGATTTGAAAAGAGCCCTAATTCTTTTCATTTGCTACAGTCAATCATTCTCTCCTACATCTCCGAGTTATGTGCTCAATCTCTCGCTCAACAGTCCTGTATAAAAACATCCTCCTCGCCCTCAATGTCCATGATTACCTAATACTAATATCCCAGACTCAGCCATCCATCGAGATGCTTCAAATGAAAGCACAGATCATTATTATCGGTCACTCTCCAATACGGAATGAAAACAAACAAGCGAAAGAAGAATTTTTTAAATACTTCAGGAGAGAAAGAGAAGGACAAATTAGCGCTTCAGAGGGAGAGGGGCAAACTGGCAGCGCTCCATTCACTTGGCATCTGAAACACTTTCACATGTTTATCATCATAATATGGGAGGAAACGCACTCAGACGCACATACTCTCCCTGCTAACCAAAACATTCCTGCAGGGGCACACAAGGGTTGCGTGTGAGCACGTGTTCCTATTATGAGTGTGGATGGACAAAGCATGTCAGTGCGACCGTGTTTGTCTGCATGTCTGGGTGGGTAGCGTGTATGTCTGTGTGCATGCTTGTCGATTGGCACGGGGTGTGTGTTTTGTCTGGGCTTCTAGATCAAACGGTTTAACCTTTGATAAGAGAGCAACGGGCTGATGTGTGTGTGTTTGAGCGAGTGAGACTAATTGCTGTTATTGTCTGATCACAGCATGCAAACAACAACAACTCAATTAGCAAAAGGGGCGAGCAATGCAGCCCCTCGTTTTCGTCTCTCTGCTTATCAGTATTCCTCCCTCCGTTGTTTTTCTGCCTGTCTTTGTCTTTTTATCCTTCAGTTGCTATCAGTTTTATCTCTCCGCAGAGATAGAGCCAAATGAACAGCAAACACATGGCTTATATAATCTGAAACAAAGACAGTGAGAGTGAGAGGGGAAAGAGAACGAAAAAGTGAAAGACAGTAAATGGAAAGGGGGAACTGTTTATGTAATCATACGGGAAACATGTTTTCTGGGAATGTTGATAACCGCAAATAATGCAAAGTTGTTTGCTGTTTTTGTTTTACATTGCCATTGTTCTCCTTCACAGGGATGAAATCTCTGAAAATTCTGTCATCGGCTATTCACCCTCGTGTCATTTCAACCTGTATGATTTTCTTTCTTCAGTAGAGCAGAAACAGTTTTTGCTCATATAATGAAGTCAATGGGGTCCAAAACTGTGTTGGTAATGTTTAATTAAAACTCAAACTATTAAAAATAATTTTTTGATAATTTGAATAAAGCAGAAATAAAGTAAAAATAAATAATAGACAAAAATGTAAACTTTAATGAGAATTAGAATGAGAATGTTGTCTTGGCAACTAACTTGAAATAAGTTGAAACTAAGGCCCTGTTTACACTAGTGCATTTTCGTTTTAAAATTAAAAAAAGATCTTCGTCTACACTGACGTTTTCACTGCGTTTGAGGGTCGAAAACGCCAGAGTAGTGTAAACGACAGGCGTAACCGTAACAAAACTTGTGCGTTTTAAAACGAAAATGCACTAGTGTAAACGTAGCCTAAAGTTCTAAAATTATTAAACTAAATTAATTAAAGCTAATTAGAAATTTAAAAAACACTATAAACTTAAAAATAATATACACATAAAATTATTACAATTTAAAATAAAATAAAAATGTAAATATACAAATAAGTTAATACAAAATATTAACAAATACTAAAATAGTATACAAGTATGGTTACTTATTTTGTACAGCACATTGGTCAACGGTAGTTGTGTTTAGTTGTGCTTTATAAATAAATCGAAATTGAAATAAATTGAAATTAAAGTACTAAAATAACACTAGTCCAAAACAACACTGGATCCCAATGACTTTTGCTGTATAAAAAAAAATGATGAACAATTCTTTTGCTTAGGAAAAAAGAAAGTCATACTGGTTTGTATTCATCTATACACTTACCATGTGTTTAACAGGAGGGTGTGTAATCTGTTGGTCACCAGCAGGCACACACTGGTCTGCATATCCATGGCACAAACAGCCTCCCTTTAAAATGAGGTCATAGATGGCATAGTGGGCAATGAACACGTTGGCATCAGGAAGTTTTTGTTGACAGAAGCAGGACTGCGGCTGAAGCAGACGTATCCGTATGTTAGTGATGCCAAGGTGGACTCGGGCATCAATACTGTACGGATCCAGTTTGTCCCAGGGTGACAGTGCACGGTAAATGACCTGCTCACACACAAATGCATGTATCAAAAAACAACAACAAACTTGTTGTTACTGAGTAAATGACCTTACTGTTTTCATTTTTTTTAAATCTAAGTACTAGTTATTAGTACTGGGAATTGAACACTATAAAAGCTAAAAATGTATGTAACAATGCAGTCAGGTTAACAAATTGTTTTTGAAAAAGTCAAAAATTACTCTCATTGTTTAATTACATTTAAATGTTTTTTCTAGTTCACCCAAAAATTGAAAATTTACTCGCCCTCAGGTTATCCAACATGTAGAAGATTATATTTCTTCATCTGAACAAATTTGGAGAAATTTAACATTACATCACTTGCTTACCAATGGATCCTCTGCAGTGAATGGGTGCCGTCAGAATGAGGGTCCAAACAGCTCATAATTAAAAACAAAGTCCACAACAAAAAAAAAAAACACACACAACCCACACAATTCCAGTCAATCAGCTGACACATTTTTAACTGAAAGGCTGCAGGCTTGTAAGAAAAAAATCCATCAAGTCATTGAACTGTCGTTTCTGGCTAAAATCTGCATAATCTCCAGGTCTATCCATAATATTGTTTTCTCCAGTAAAAACAAAAAAAAAACTCATCTGAATCAGGAGAAAAATATGCACAGATCAAGACCAAAACAGTTCTAAACAAATATGTTGTCTAAAACTGTCTTAATAATGGATCCGTTTAGCACCTTCATTACATGACCGTTTATTGATGGACTGGAGTGGTGTGGAATACTTGTGTGGATTATTGTGATGTTTTTATCAGCTCTCATTCTGACGGTACCCATTCACTGCAGAGGATCCATTAGTGAGCAAGTGATGTAGTGCTAAATTTCTCAAAATCTGTTCTGATGAGGAAACAAACTCATTTACATCTTGGATGGCCTTAAGGGGAAGTCGTGGCCTAATGGTTAGAGAGTCGGACTCGTAACCCAAAGGTTGTGGGTTCGAGTCTCGTTCCGGCAGGGATTGTAGGTGTGGGGAGTGAATGTACAGCGCTCTCTCCCACCTTCAATACCACGACTGAGGTGCTCTTGAGCAAGGCACCGAACCCCCAACTGCTCCCCGGGTGCCGCAGCCCGTGTGTGTTCACTGCTGTGTGTGTGCACTTTGGATGGGTTAAATGCAGAGCACTAATTCCAAGTATGGGTCACCATACTTGGCCACATGTCACGTCACTTTTAGAGAGGTAAATTCAGCAAATGTTCATTTTTGGTTGAACTAATCCTTTAAGAAGAACCTCATTATTCACGCAAAAAAAGCATCTAACAAATGCATCTCCTCTGAAACGTGAGATACTGTATGCACACTCACCTCTCCATTGCTGCAAGGCTCCGCTGTGGAGTATTTCTGAGTGCAGCTCTGTCCATCCTCCAGGTCGAACACTTCACTGCAGTTGTGTGCATACAGCATCAGAGCGCTCCATGTGCGCCCAAAGTCCTGCGAGTGCTCTATCGCCATGGCAGCAGGGCGTGGTGACCGAAATATGATAATGAGGTGGGTGAAGTAAAATTCCACCTCCAAATCCAGCTTTAGAGTTTCGATGGAAACACCCTGAGCGGACTGCCACCAGGTCGGTGGGTGTTTGAAGGGTGAGTCTGTCATGGACGCAGGTGGGTGTGCGTGGTGCAGTACTGAAGCATCACACACCTCACAATGCAACACACATCTATTCATTTTGTAGACAGGCCTACAGTAGCGTTCTGGAGAGGACGAGCCACACTGGGAAATTGTCTGTACAGGACGCCCGACTGCCAGGTTCCCCATTCGTGGATTACACACCCGATTCTCACATCCTGGTACATATAAACAAGTAAAACATTTTTAAAATACAACACATTCACAAACAAATTGACTGAACGCAAAATAACGCACATTCCAACAGACACTGACTAGAAGATATAGTTGTTTCAAAAAAGCATTTGGACACTACAGGAAAAAAACATAAATGCCAAAAAGGTCTAAGACTTGTAGTTTTGAGAAAAGACAGTTTTAAGTAGTATGTCAACAAGTAATTATCTTTGACCAGTTACACTAGTCTGGGCTACATAATCAGATTCCAAACACTAAGTACTATTATTACATTTTAGAGTGCTAATAATCAGATTACTTTTTTATAGATTACAAGAGTATTATTTACACAATGGCAGTAAATTACTCAAAATGTACTGATTCGCTCTAATTCTTTTTTCTCTTGTAAATGATCTTTTCTAAAAAATCCTACATCTTATATACATTTGGAATTTTTTCCAGTTTTATGAAACTACACACACCAGACAGTCAGGTGAATACAGAATGGAGAGGCCAAAACAACTTTCATTTGATATTTTTATGATTTAATTAATTATTAGCTTTTCGAAACTTCACAGCTCTTTCAGGAACTCCAGTTTGCAAAACTTAAGTTGGTTAAAATTTAATGCACTTCATGATGTTGAAAATAAAGATTGGAAAATATTTTCTTATGAATTTGGTCAAAAGTAATCCGAAAGTAATCAAAAAGTAGTCCGAATACGTTACCTAATGTGTGTAATCCAATAGATCACGTTACTAACTACAATTTAATTGACTACCATTTGTAAGTAATCTATACAGCACTGTTTATGACTTCATTATAGCCTATAGACATTATAGGGGTCCGTTTTAAAACCTTTTAGATATTGATATATTTTAGATATGTTTAGCTATATGTGTTGTGAAACAAAATTACGATTTGGGTTGCACGAGATTGACAGACTGTGCCCGAAAATGACTTTTACATTTTTTTGGCCACATTTATATTTAATAAAAAAAGCGTTTTAAAGTCACTGTATAACTCCCGCACTGATAAACATGTAAACAAACACTTTTTATATAAATACAATTATAGTACAAAGAAATAAATAAACGCACTTTTAACGTGCTTTAATATAATCTACAAATGCATTATCAATCTGCAAATTGGTTGGATTCAGCGGCCACATCTTGATGTTGGGTGTGTATGCATATGCAAAGTTTGGTTTTGTTTTGCATATTCAAATCATCCCCGTCTCTTTCTCTCCATATCAATCAGTTCGTCAGACACCACGAGTCTCTGTTCGGTTGACAACCAGACAACTTGTTTTGATCGCACCCGCTGCGTAAATAGTTTACATGCGTAAAACACTGACCTGAACGCACGGGGTGAGGAACGCTCATCAGGAGCGCTGCGAACAACACACATCTCCCTGGCAGCTCCATATTAATCATCAATCCAGTAAAAAAAAAAAAAAAAGCCAACAATTACACGTATCAAACCCCGCGAGGGGTTTTAATCCACAATACGCACGGGAACCTGATTCCACTCCAGAGCCTTTCAGATTGCATGTAGGAGCACGACTTCATTGGCGTGGGTTGGCCAGGTGCGCAAACGCTGAGCGGAGGTGATCTGCTCCAGTAACAAACAGAAACTGTTCAGCTGAAATAGAACACAACTCTCGCGCGACAACGCCATTGGTGTGTAACCGCAAATAAGCGTCTGTCAGAGTCACTTCTGTCCCCGGCCGCGCTGCTCGTGTAGAAGTGAGCAGTGTGTGTGTTTTGCTCTGAGCGCGACTCGTGGGGCTGCGCGTGCTGCTCTGTAACACCTGAGTTGGAATCTGGAACCCCTTTGAGTGACAGGAGCTTTGAAGAACACAGGCCACGCCCCTTCTCCCAGCATTTTTCTCGATTTAATGGAGCATTCCTGGCATGAGTCATCCGAGTCATTCAACGTCAGATCTCTTTCGCACAAATGTTTACCTAATTTAGCTGTCCAAATGGACACTTTCTACTGAGTTAAATTATTATATAGGCTAACTGTAGACTTTTTAAGTTATCTTTGATCATTGTTTTCACTAATTTTATATTCGGTTATTTAATATTACATGGAAGTTTGTCTTAATGCCCCATATAATAGTTTATGCATGATAGTTTATAAAAATAAAGGTTCCAAAAGGGGGTTTGCAGCAGCAATTTCTTCGAATAATCATTTTTTGGTTCCCCAAATTACCTTTCATTGAACAGTTCTTCTTATTTTTTTTCTTAGTGTGAAGAACATTCTAAAGAGCAAAGAACATTTTTCCACTATATAGAACATTTCTTAGAATGGAAAGGTTTCACATGAAACCATCAATGCCAAAAAAGAACCTTGATTTTTAAGAGTAGGCTATAGGTTAAAAAATACCTTGAAAATGACAAATAGGGTTTAGATGCAAAAGCCTCTAAGTGCCGTCTGAGATTTTCTTCTAAAATTAATATTTTTCTCAGGCTCCTATGTTTATGTTCAGTTATTTCACTTTAATGGCAATGTAGTGAAATGACTGAATCTACACATAGGAGCTTGAGAAAACTGCTGCAAATGGCACTTAGAGGCTTTTGCCTCTGAACGGAGATTAAATATCATGTTTTATATGGCTGTCATTTGAGGTTAACATCATTTAAATTATCATTCAAATGTATTTTAATTAGCAAAAGCTATTTAATAAAGAAAACTGTTTCACACTGTTCTTTTTTCAGTTTATCAAAAGTTCTTATTTGATTCTTGGATGACGCTCATTAGGACTGGTTCCAAATTATGATTCCTAATGTAACTGAAATCAAAGCATAAGGATATTTTGAGATTTAAATCATGTGAAATCAGCTGACAGGAAAAGAGAAGAGTGTATATTGATTTGGTGAAGGCGGAAAGGCTGCATTTTAAGATTGGTCAACAGGAAAGTAAAGGATGAAAGACTGGCCACTTTCTGAAATATTGAAAAAAGACTTCGTCTGGAATGCGGATCTGCAAAAGATTTCCATTCTAATCCGCTATAGCCTGGGCTTTCAGGCAGCTTTGCTAAGCTTTGATTCATTCACAAAGCACCCAGCACATCTCTGGAAAAATTCATATAACTCACTTTTATTTAAAAACTCATTTACTTTATTTTGTGCTGCAGGTACACATGATACAATAAACTAATAGATTCTGTCTATATCTTGCTACATCCTTTCAGGCAATAGACCTGGAAAATAATCTCTTGGCATATCTAATCCATCCTGTCAGCCATGTAAACATTTCAAATATGGCCTCTTTTGAATAAATGGTAATAAAATGCAAAAACCTCCTGGAAAAGTCTTTAGATAGAAGATGAATCAACTGTGCAAGATCTAATTGCATTTTATTTTTATTTATTTACTTACGTGTAGGTATTGAGAAATGCACGTAATTAATTGTACAAAATAGTAAAAGGCATTCTACAGTAGTCAACATTTGAAGTGGATCAAAACCTTTCATCAAAGTTGTCCTAAAACCAAAATGCGTTCTTGTTTTAGGACAATTTTGCTGAATTTTTTTTTTTGATCCACTTCAAATGCTGACTACTTCATTTCATTCCAGACTACCATCCTGGCCCATTGTGCTCATATGGTGCTATTACCCGCCAGTGCTGCGTGTGGCGCTGTGCTCAGACGCGCTCTTCTCTCCCGCCTTGCGGTCAAAGTGCGCTTGTAGTCCTTCCCTCATTCGGCGGCAAGGCGTGCGAGTGTGCTACAATAGCCTATGCTATTTAAATAAACACATTTTTCTTCCTTAATACTACTTTAGCTGTACAGTCATGGTAAGTCCTACAGAATATTTTCCTTTTGGCTTAATATTTGAGGTTCTGTAAAAGAGCGAGGCGGTTTTCATTCATGAATGAGCTGAGAGTGCGGCTGCATGTTAGCATCTGGAACGTATAGCGGACGTTGTTTTCAGTAGCGATCAATGTTTTGTTAGAAACACTGAGCTCGTATGATCAATAGTTCCACTTGCTATGTCGCAACCTAGTTAGCTGCCTCCCTAGATAGTGTTTAAAATGCTCACTGTGTAGAAAGCTAGCTTGCTTTCATTGTGACAAAATCTTAAAGGTCTTTGTGTTGTATTTCTCTGTTCAATTCGCAACTAATTCAGTGGAATCCAACAAGAATACTATAAGACGGTTAACTAAAGTTTCTAATGAGATGAACAAAATTTTATTGTAACGTTATCTAGTCAAATCTTCTTCAGAAGCCTGCATTTCTTTTGCAGTAATGTCTTTCTCCTTGACATTTTTTGGAATATTAGTTCCTTGTGATATTCCACAGAAGCATGTTAAGTTACCCTATCCAGTCTTATTTGGGACTATGATAGAAAAGTTCTCTTTTTTTTGTTTGTTTTATGTTGGAATTCTATACAAGAATTCCTATTATAATACTTTAGGATTGGTTCCAAATTATGATATGAAATTCCAATTTTTTCAAACTTAATATCTAACACTGAACTCTTCTCTGCAGAGTTTGCCGCTGAACCCCAAGCCCTTTCTGAACGGCCTCACGGGAAAGCCTGTGATGGTGAAGCTGAAGTGGGGTATGGAGTACAAGGGCTACCTGGTGTCCGTGGACGGCTACATGAACATGCAGGTATGTCTGATTATAATTCACGTTTATAAATCCATCAGTCATTTTCTGGTGTTTTGATCTGCTACATACAATATCCATAGTAAACTAACAGGTCACAAAATGCACATATCCAGTGTTATTTAAACCAGTGGTTCCCAACCCTGGTCTTTGAGGCACCCCAACACTGCAAGTTTTGTATGTCTCCTTAATCAAACACACCTGATTCAGGATTATAATATAATAACTTTGTTTTCTTTTCTGCAGGTGTAATAATGTTTTGTACATAAGAGGAGTAGAAGAAGAGGAAGAAGACGGCGAGATGAGAGAATGAAGAGTGATTTGATTTCTTTTTCTAATCTGATTGGATGATTTATTGGTTATTTTGCAGTTTGTCCCAGTTTTATGTGAAGCTGTGTCTCTTTTCTTTGTAAAATTGTTAGTTATTTTTTACACCGTAAAAGTTATTGGTGGCACAATGACAAATAAATTGTGATGTTTGTATGTTTTTGTTGTCGTTTCTTTTACTGTAATATTTAAAGTCAAAATGAAATCCGAATCTACTACGTACTTAATGCAACAATTCATAAGTGCATGTTATTCCAAAGAAAAATACTGTTTGTCTTTAACAATAAGATTTTGTGTTTCAGCACTAATTCTGAAATATAATACCATATACAGTCTCTGGTAATTGCAGATGGACAGAATTAAGTCCCATCTTGTGTCTTTTTAGTTGACACTGAATATCAGGTTAATTTGGTAACAGGTGGTTCATGAATGCTAAAGTTCACTGTAAGAGTGTATTAAACATTTTCTAAATGATCAGTTTGAAGGCAATTACCGTTTTAATTAAGTTATACAGTATGTGTAGTGTAGTAAGTTTATTTAAATATCCTATATTGTTTGGCATTAATCATTTCCCCAGTAGTCACTCCAGCCAATTTAAGTAAACTAATACATTCGGCTTTAGACAGATTTGTTCTGTAAAATTACACAGGCAAGAGAAGGAAAAACACTTTTTTTATATATACAACACTGTATATATATATATATAAATTATGAAGGTTTAAGGACGTGTACAAACCTGCTTTATCGTTGGTTGAAAACAAATGTTACATTTTTGTGATAAAGTGTGGCATTTTCACAGATTTAATTATGAGACAAATACAAAAACAGGGAAATTCGTCACTGTCGTTCATATTCATTAGAAATACGTTTCTTTTTACCTTTTCACAACGCCGTTTGTTTACCTCATGCACATAGATCTGCTGAAGATAAGCTCCTCCCTCACTGATTATTGGTAATTCAGTTACCTGTTTCCTTCCCGACCTTCGTCCAGTTACCCAATTTTGGCTTCGCTAAATATTTACCCACTCTTTTATCCCTGAGCTCTGCTCTGAGTCACTTGCACCAAAGTTAACCTAGCAATGTCTGCGAGCAGTTTCAGACTTTTAGTCAAGAATGCAACACAAGTGGTGTTAGTTTGTAGAAATGGTGAAGAGTACCTCACCAGAGATGGGATGCAGACGCTGGCTGTCGTTGAGAATGGCAGTGTGCTCATTGGACAGTAAGTCTTCACTTATTTATCGTGATGAATTCAGCATGTAAATAAACGTTTGGAAAACGCTCATGGTCTGTTATCTAATAGGCTATGTTAAAATGTATTGCATGTTTTTAAACAATTTTAATTAGCTATTTTTATAATAAATTTATTTTTAAGGTAGAATATATATATATAAAAAAAAAGAAAGCATTGAAGACTGCTTTGAAAAAATATATTTCATGGCTCCCTTAAAAGGAGATTAGATGTATTACATGAAGTTGTTGAAAATACAATAAGCGCTCTGCTTTTAATTAATTAATTATATATTGAATTATATATTGGGACAAAATTGTACACAGAAATGAGAAAAATCTCCTTTGGCAGAAAAGTTTTCTTTTAGGGTTATTTTGGCTAGTCTGTAGTAATTATACATTTTATAAAATAACAATTTAAGTATATGGGCTGTCCTCATTTAGCCGTGTGTGTGTGTACCTGGTATTTATCACATTGTGGGGACCAAGCATGTTTTTAAACAATTTTAATGAGCTATTTTTATAATAAATTTATTTTTAAGGTAGAATATATATATATAAAAAAAAGAAAGCATTGAAGACTGCTTTGAAAAAATATATTTCATGGCTCCCTTAAAAGGAGATTAGATGTATTACATGAAGTTGTTGAAAATACAATAAGCGCTCTGCTTTTAATTAATTAATTATATATTGAATTATATATTGGGACAAAATTGTACACAGAAATGAGAAAAATCTCCTTTGGCAGAAAAGTTTTCTTTTAGGGTTATTTTGGCTAGTCTGTAGTAATTATACATTTTATAAAATAACAATTTAAGTATATGGGCTGTCCTCATTTAGCCGTGTGTGTGTGTACCTGGTATTTATCACATTGTGGGGACCAAATGTCCCCACAAGGATTGTAATACCAGTAAATTTTGACCTTGTGACATTTTTTAGGTCCCCATGAGGAAAGCTTATACATCATACAAAATGAGTTTTTTTGAAAATCTAAAAATGCAGAAAGTTTCCTGTGAGGGGTAGGTTTAGGTGTAGGCTGATAGAAAATAGTTTGTACATTATAAAAACCATTACGCCTATGGAATGTCCCCATAAACCATGCAAATGCAATGTGTGTGTGTGTGTGTGTGTAGTGATGGACTAATTAAAGCTGTTGGACCAGCAGACATCATTGAGTCTCAGTTCAAAGGAGCAAAGTTTGACAATGTTCTGGATGCTTCTGGCATGTGTGTCATCCCTGGTAAGTGTTACATCTACCACCATTTCTGTTGACAATTCCTTTAAAAAAAAGTTGAAAGAATCTTAACACAATGTTTCAGGCCTGGTCGATGCACACACACATCCAGTATGGGCCGGAGACAGAGTGCATGAGTTTGCCATGAAGGTTTTGCTCCCTTTTTTTTTTCCATCTGTTTCTACTCTTGCATGTTATATTATATGAATATATCTTTAAGTCTTTGTGTCAGAGACGTTATCTGAACAAGCATCTTAATACAAGTAATGAAGTATTTTCATTGTGCCGTTGTGTGTGTACAGCTGGCCGGTGCCACATATATGGAAGTGCATGAAGCAGGAGGTGGAATCCATTTCACAGTGGCACATACTCGCTCAGCAACCGAACGACAACTATTAGATGGGTTACAGAGCCGTCTGGAGCGCATGATGAGAGCTGGAACCACGCTGGTGGAGTGTAAGAGCGGATATGGGCTTGAGCTGGACACTGAACTCAAGATGCTGAGGGTGATCAATTCAGCCAGAAACTCACTGCCAATCGGGATATCAGCAACCTACTGCGGAGCACATGCAGTACCCAAGTACATAGTCTTTATAACAAACATTATTACTGTTTTTGCTGTAATTTTGATTAAATAAATGCAGCCTTGGTGAGCATAAGAGACCAACCCCAAATGTTACAAACCTTAATTTGTTTAACATCCATTTTCTCAGAGGTAAAACTATGGAGGAAGCCACTCAGGACATTGTGGCAGTGCAGTTGCCCAAGATAAAAACGCAAATTGCTTCAGGTGAACTGCAGGTGGACAACATTGATGTATTTTGTGAGAAAGGTGTGTTTGATCTGAACTCAACGCGTTGCATACTCAAGGCTGGCAAAGATATGGGCCTCAACATCAACTTTCATGGCGATGAACTCCATCCCATGAACTCGGCACATGTAAGCATGCATACTTGTATACTTTAATAAACGTTGAAATTGTCGTTTCTTACATCATCTGTGTCTCTTCCTTGTACACCTGTCTAACAGCTTGGGGCAGAACTTGGCGCTTTAGCCATCAGCCATTTAGAAGAAGTGACAGATGATGGAATTACTGCAATGGCAAAAGCTAAAACATCAGCAGTCCTCCTGCCCACCACTGCCTATATATTAAGGTAAATAACTAGTGTTGATGTTTTCCATAAAATAATTGGAAGAAATCAGGGATTTGATTCTCCTTGTGTCTGTTGAAGGCTGTCTCCACCACGTGCGAGAGATATGCTTGATGCTGGAGTCATAGTGGCCCTTGGCAGTGACTTCAACCCCAATGCCTACTGCTGCTCAATGGTGACCATAAGACTCAAAACTTTTTGGAACAAAAGTTAACAGTAGAAATTTAACGTGACCACTTAATTTCATTCTGTTTTGTCTGTTTATTAGCCTATGGTGATGCACTTGGCATGTGTGCTGATGAAGATGTCTATGCCAGAAGCTTTGGCTGCAAGTACTATAAATGCAGCCTATGCTCTCAACCGTTCACAAACGCATGGATCGCTTGAAATCGGGAAACAGGGGGACCTTGTGATCATCAATGCACCACGGTTAGATCGTATCCATACAGTAACTAGAGATCTACAAGGGCAACTGCTGAATAGTTTACATTCAAAAGTTGTTTGAATAAGGCATAAAAATAGTTATATATTAAAAAACAGGGTTATTACAGTTAATTAAAACTAAAACAAAATAAAATGTCATTTGAAATAAAATAAACATTAACTGAAATTAAATTAAATATTTAAAAAACTTACTTATTTTATTTCAGCTAGTTGCCAAGTCAACATGTCTCATTTTTGTTTAGTTCAACTTTAAGTACTTAAAGGGTTAGTTCACCCAAAAATGAAAATTCTGTCATTAATTACTCACCCTCATGTCGTTCCAAACCCGTAAGACCTTCGTTCATCTTCGAAACACAAATTAAGATATTTTTGATGCATCCCATGAGCTCTCTGACCCTCCCATAGACAGCAAGGGTACTACCACGATCAACGTCCAGAAACGTAGCAAGGAGATCGGTAAAATAATCCATGTGACATCAGGGGTTCAACCATAATATTACGAAGCTACGAGAATACTTTTTGTGCGCAAAAGAAAAAGAAAAAAAAAACGACTTTATTCAGCAATTCGTCTCCTTCGCGTCACCCTGGCGCAATTTTGGAGAATATCCACTGAATGTAAATGGCGTATGCTGTTCTGTGTGAGCTGCGTCACGCGGATACGTTGTTTCCGTTCAGATCAATGCGTAAGCGACGTAAACAGCGTATCCGTGTGCCGCAGCTCACACAGATCAACATACTCCGTTTACGTTCATTGGATATTCTCTAAAATGGCACCAGGGTGACTCGTAGCTTCGTAATATTACGGTTGAACCCCTGATGTCACATGGATTATTTTAACGATGTCCTTGCTACGTTTCTGGACGTTGATCGTGTTAGGATCCTTGCTGTCTATGGGAGGGTCAGCGAGCTCTCAGAATTCATCAAAAATATATTAATTTGTGTTCAGAAGATGAACGGGGGGTCTTACGGGTTTGAAATGACATGAGGGCGAGTAATTAATGACAGAATTTAAATTTTTGGGGTGAACTATCCCTTTAAGTACTACTGTTAAAAGATGAATAATAATGACAAAACACAACAAAATTACTAAAATCTCAACTAAAATTTGTGAAAACTGAAAATATAAAAATAAAATATAATTAAAAATATTAACATCAAATAAAATCAGTTATTGAGATTCAGATATACAGGTTTGGATTATAACTGGTGCTTGATGGGACTTCATAAGGAGGTTGTTATAATTTGAGTTCTCTTCCTCTCTGTTGCAGGTGGGAACATCTGGTCTACCAGTTCGGAGGCCATCAGGAGCTCATCAGATATGTGATAATCAAAGGCGAGATTGTTTATGAAAACGATAAAGTCTTGAACCTTTGAGGATCCTGCACCATGGACCAATCCCTCAATGAATCAACAAAAGATCATGTGGTAAAGTTTTATTACCATGGTTAGTAAATCACATGGAGCCACACTGAATGATAAAACAAAAAAACATGTTTTGTTGATAAAAAATACATAAATAAATAAATAATTTCTATAAATATTCACACAAATTAAAGGTTATTCTGTTATTAAAGGCTGTATAAACTCATACAAACTTGTTTTGTATCAGTGTGTCCTTCCATCTCCAAACGGTTTCTGTCATCGTAAAGGAAATGCACGGTTTAGTACCAGCTCCATCTTCTCTCCTCCTAATGCACATGCATCTAACACACACAGTAGTCTTTGATTGGTCAACTGGTTTGCTGTGGCGATCAAGTCAGCTGTTGGAGAAGAAAGAGAAATCAGATTTAAATGTTTAGCTAATTTATTCCCACAGGAAATAAAATAAAGTTTTAGTGGTAGTTGTTATATTTATTTAATTGAAATAAAAATAATTCTCACATATACAGTGGGTACGGAAAGTATTCAGACCCCCTTAAATTTTTCACTCTGTTATATTGCAGCCATTTGCTAAAATCATTTAAGTTAATTTTTTTTCCTCATTAATGTACACACAGCACCCCATTTAAGGGGGTCTGAATACTTTCCGTACCCACTGTAAGTAGCTTTACCATAGGCTTATTAAAATAAAAAAATTAATAAAATAAAAACACTGGCATTTTTTAGCAGAATGCAGTATGAATAAAACTCCAAAAACATTTTTTGTTGTTGTTGAAAGCATTATCGAATAAACTAAAATATGGCAATTTATGTGAATGCACTGAAATTCGTTCTGAATAAATAAAGCCCATTTGCTTCATATTTACCAGGGCTTGGGGGCGGGGCATGTGGTGAAAAGCCTCCATGTGATAGGACAGACTCCCAGGAGTTATTGTGCGAAAGGGGGAGGGGCATCCAGTGCAAGTTTCCCGGGGCAGCAGGCAGAAAAAGAACATCAAGCATCACTCCATCTGATAGAGCTTAAGTAGAGAAATAAAAAATAAAAAAACTTTGGTCACAATACTACAAACACGCTGTGACTAACACTCGAACTTCATGCAAAAAAAAAAAAAACATGTTTGTGTGTGTGTTTTAAATGTGCACCTCTCATTGTCAGAGTGAAGTAGCCAGTGTAGCAGGAGGCGGGGCTAAATGACTCCAGCTCTCTCTGTGGGAGGAGCTTGTGAAAGTTGTTAACCTGCAGCCCCACGGCAACAGCCTGGACGTGTCGCCGCTCATAACAAAAAACCCGTGGCAAAGTTTCATTGGCAACACGTGTCAGCCCCAGGCGGGCGGTCATGGGACTAGTGGGCGGCGTCAAGAAGTCTCCGTCTTCATCTTCATCATTACTGTCATCTTCCTGTTCTCCGACTAGAAACTCCATGGCGCCATCAAACAGGGAAAAATCTGCAGGGCACAGGGACACAATGATCTTTCTCTGGAAATTCATATCAAATTTGCTTTTCACAAGCGATTTTTGTCAATATTCATTGTTAATCCTGATTAGCTTTCTGGTTTCATGATGAAATGATGTGCAGGATGAATCCAGTCATTTTTATGGCTCTTACCTCTCTCCGCATCATCCTCCGTTGCAAGTGGTTGCAGAGGTGGTGCCAGCCTGAAGAAGAGAGTATTATTATTCTCCACTCAATAACAGCAGTTCTTCTCTATCAGACAGAAACCAAACATTCGTACCTCTTTCTAGGACTAGTACTGCTGAAAAGTTTCCGCTTCACAGGTGTCCTGTGAGGTTCAGACCTGTGGTAAAAACAGTCTTGAAGGACAGTTTACCCAAAACTGAAAATGTAATAAAATAAAGATATCCTATGATCTTCCTTCGAAAATTGAAAAGGAGTGCTTTAGCTGCTCAGTCCCATGCAGTGACAGTGAAGTTATTACTACCACGGTAGTTATCGAATCTCATTTACACTTCTGCTCATGTTGTAGGTTGCAAGACATTTTTTGATGATTTTTGGACAAACTTGTCCATACTTATTACATCAGAAACCCAAGATAACACACACACACACACCCCTCTCTTTGCCGTCGTACTCTAGGACTGAGTGGAGCTGATGGAATATCTGAATACTGTGTTCGCCCACTGTCCTATAAAAGAAAAGAAAATAGAGATATAGCAAAAAGAGTTACACTACCGTTCAATTTGGGGTCATTAATTATTATGTTGTTGGTTGTATAATAGTGTGGGTTATTTGTTGCTGTCTATGTATATACCTCTCTATGATGGTAGCAGGCTGCAGTGATGACACACTGAATAGCAAACTGCTGCTTCTCTCTATAAATTAACTTCTCACATTGTAATTTCATCTCTCCTCCACTGATGAGACCAGCTTCCCCTGCAAACACACACTGAAATTAGTGACAGGAAGAGGGCTAAAACCTGAAATGGTACAGCAACACATTTGAGTACTGAATTCATTTCATCACACTAAACAGTACAGGCTGTCATTATCTGGCATTATTCCATGCTTAGTCCATTCAAAAACATATCTATTTTTACATAAACCCTGGCAAAATCTAGAAACATTCTCAAATAGCTTTCTGCTTCTCACCGTGTCGGTTTTCCATGAAGTTATGCAATGAAACAGGAAGTGGTGGGTATCTGAAATATCCTCCAATCACAGCTCTTTCCAGCAGACTGCTCTCATCCACCTGCTTCAGCCAGCGGAGAAACTGCCGGATGGGCCGTATCCCTCTGTATGGCATCACGGGGTGAGACCCTGTGCCTGTTTTGATGTTTGAAAATAATAGCATTGGATTCTTTTAATTCTGAAATAAGTCTATAGTTACTACAGGTTTTTTAAAAATGTTTTTGAAAGAAGTCTCTTAAGCTCAGGCTGCATTTGTTTAAACAAAAGTACAGTAAAAGCAGTAATATTGTAAAATATGATTACAATTTAAAATACTTGTTTTGTATTTTATAATATTTTAAAATGTAATTTATTCCTGTAATGGCAAAGCTGAATTTCCAGCATCATTACTCCAGGCTTCAGTTTATCTTATTCATATACTGCAACATACACTAACCTTCAATAGTTTTAGGTCAGTAAAGTTTTTAAAAGACATTTTTAAAACATTAAGGAAAAATTAATAATAATGAAAATATATGAAAAGTTCATTTAAACTGTAAAAAATATTTCACAATATTACTATTTTACAGTATTTTTTGATCATATAAATGCAGCGTCGGTGAGCATAAAAGATCATTAAAGAAATATAACCTAAAACATAACCTGGCCGACACAAAACTTTTGAACGGTAGTGTGTATGTCATAACTTCATATGCTAGATGAGTTTAATGTTCTCTCTACCAATGTGTGGCTCCGATTCCTGCCCCGTGCGGCTGCTGTAACTCTCCTTGACTCTGTAGCGACACAATCTTACAACCTGACCCGGATGAAGGATTCGGTACCATTCCAGACAGACTGTGTTCCACAGCACAACACAGGCACTGGATGAGCCGTCACCAACCTGCAGCTCTGCCTGAGGAAAACAGATTGATGAAGAAGCTAAATTCAACGTCAAACCAATCTTGTGATGCATAACTAAAATGAACCATTTTAGACTGGCATACAGATGAGATAAACAGTTGAAGTTAAAGTTGAAAAAGTGCCCACAATATTAGTCAATAAATATCAAATATCGATTGATATACTGCATCTCTGCTTCTTATTAGATTCTTTCTTACCAAAGCAACTTGTATTCTTCCAAAAATTACTACAAATGTTAAAACAATATTTATTTTATTACATATGACCAAGTTCCTACTGTTAACAGATATTTGCATGGAAAAGGATGTCTTGTATTTGACCTCTGACCTTATAAGGACATTCACATTTCTGATCTGCTTTCCCGTAATAAATCAGTCTGGATTTGTGAAGGATCCGCACACACAAAGCCCCCCGGTAACGCCGAGATCCACTCAAGAAATGTCTGCGTACTTCTGCGAGGGAAACAGTGGAGCCAATATCTGCCACCAGAAACAAAGGCACATGCATGAATTTCATTTGTGTTCCACAGAAAAAAAAGTAAGTCATGCAGGTTGAGGGTGAGTAAATCATCATAGAATTTATTATTTTATTTTATTTATTTATTTGGAGTGAATTATCCCCTTATGTTTGAAGGTGAATTTGACCCATGTATTTCATGGTTAACAGCCACTGGACAATAAATATCTTGTTATGCCAATTTCTCTACTACTGTCTAAAGTTTTCCACACTTCTTCTGTTTAAAATCTTTTAGAAAATGTTTAAAACTTGTTTAAAATATTCAAATATGTGACCCTGGACCACAAAACCAGTCATAAGTAGCACGGGTATATTTGTAGCAATAGCCAAACAATACATTGTATGGGTCAAAATGATCAATTTTTCTTTTATGGCAAAAATCATTAGGATATTAAGTAAAGATCATGTTCCATGAAGATATTTAGTAAATTTCCTACCGTAAATATATCAAAGCTTAAATGTTTGATTAGTAATACGCACTGCCAAGAACTTCATTTGGACAACTTTAAATGCGATTTTCTCAATATTTAGATTTTTTTGCACCCTCGGATTCCAGATTTTCAAATAGTTGTATCTCAGCCAAATATTGTCCCATCCTAACAAACCATACATCAATGCAAAGCTTATTTATTCAGCTTTCAGCTGATGTATGTATCTCAATTAAAAAATAAAAAATAAAAGTCCCTTATGACTGGTTTTGTGGTGCAGGGTCACATATTCAGTTTTTTAATACTCAATTTTTTTCATGTGTGAGAAGTATTAATATTAAAGGTTGTTGAAATCCAGTTAATAATACAATAATGTTAAGTATTTTAGAGGGAAGGTGTTTAGGTGAAAAATATGGGTCCCAAGTGATATGTTTATAAGTGAGAGACTCCCTCAAATGCTTCCTAGATAGGCATCTTACACACCATCTATCTCCTCTTCAGAGTCCTCCGCGTCGGGTTCAGAGGGAGGCGCGTCCCGCCACATCTCTCCACTGAAGTCGTGATTATTCCACAGCGGCAGATAGGAGCTCCTGCGCGCTCTGAGCGGACCTGCGCTCGGCTCTGCTCCCATCCACGGAATGGCCCTCACATTGACGGAAGAGAGCGCCCTCAGAGCGGCATTGCCGCCGGAGAGTCTGTCCACCTCCAGACTGCACGCATGAAAAGACGCGCTGTCTTCCCCGCGGCTGAGCTCCACATGCCGTATGACGGAGCCGCAGTGGAGCACATTGACGCTGATGAGTCTGTTGACAGCGGGATCTAGAGACACGCGGATCTTACAGTCTCCATCCGTGATAGTGGCGTCGAACAGACTCTCTGACATGGAAATGCTGTCCGGGAAACGGAGCGCGAAGTCCGCGTCTCTGCCGTAGCGCTCCAGAGAGATCACGTACAGCGGCTCCGAGCGGGTTCGCGCTCTTGGGGAGGAAGATGTGGTGGATATTAACCTGTTTAGGATCTTTTTGAGTGTGCAGCACTCAGAGGAGCTGCCTGACAGCGCGGCCATGTTCGCGCGACACAATAACAATGCCGCAAAGCATTATGGGAGATTGAGTACAGCACAGAAAGAGAGAAAGACAACGAAAATAAAATTTAGGACATATGCCCAGTTTGAAGCCTAGTCCCGGACTAAAATGCGTGTTTGAGCTGTCCTAACTAAAAGCAACTTGCACTGACATGTCTGAAAATATGCCAATGCGCAGTGCCATTGATTTGTATGAAGATGCACAGTAATGTTTAAAAAAAAAACTAGCCTACTTAAACATTCTAATTTAACTAAAGTGTAATCCTGGCTTAATCTAACCCCTGCCTGTGAAACTAGGCCATAATGTTGAAAACAATTACTGAAATCAAGAATGAAATTAAATAAGAAATAGACAAAAATAAAATAGAAAAAGACGCAATTCTCAAAAATGAAAGAATAAACAGAACAAATAGAAATAAAAATATATAGTAGAAATATGAAGCGTATATGTGATCCTGGACCACAAAACCAGTCAAAAGAAGCGCACGGGTATATTTGTAGCAATAGCCAGAAATACATTGTATGTATGGGTCAAAATGATCAAAAATCATTAGGATAGTGAGTAAAGATCATGTTCCATAAAGATATTTTGTAAATAAATAAATATATAAAATTGTTTGTTTTCATATAACCTTAAGTAAAAACCTGAAACCTAACACTTTTTGAGTTATTGCCTCATTAAGATGAATAGCCTGATTGCTTCTTCATTTGTAAGTCGCTTTGGATAAAAGCGTCTAATAAATGACTAAATAAATAAATAAAATATAAAATGATTACAATAAAGACTAAATAAATAAAAAAAATAACTTTGAAAAAAGTTATAGAAAAGTAAATACATGAAGATAAAAATATAGAAAGTCAAGTATGTAAATAATAAAAGAAAATCTGAAAGAAAAAGAAAGCAAGACATTTTGACAGCAGTTTGAGTTGCGGAGCATTTGGTTGCCATGGCAGCGTGATGAAAACACACAGGACGCCATCTAGCGGTGACTGCGAGTCACTGCGTGATGCAGCTCAATGAACCCACAGCGCCTCAGACGATCGTGGACTCAGGATTGGTAAAGAAAGAAGACACTTTAAAGACCGCAGCATGGACACAACTTATTAGCAGTTCTTTTTTCCAGTGTTTGAAGCCTGCTGCCCGGACTCTTGTGCCATGTGGAAATATTACAAAAACGGAGTTGTACCGAAGAGAAACAAGCAGAAATCGGTAAGATTGTATTTTCAATGTAATATATTTTATCCTTTTAAAGTCAATACAGAAGACTTTTCCTCCGTGTACATTTAAAATGGATTATTTATGTGTATGACAGCTAAACGTTTGTTTAAAAACCATTAAAAGTGCAATTATTGAAATAAATAGACAAAGTCAACTCACATAATCATATAACAGATATATTCAAAATTTAATAAGCATTACAACTGAACAGGAGAATGAAGTTGTCAACCTCCCTCCCATTTCCAATGGGATTCCCGCAAAGTCAGCAGTAGGCCTACTGGTAAGCATTTTCATTGATTAATGTTTGTCCTTTTTTTAATTAACAAGCTGTGACAGTTTCTTTCTTTAGCAGTGGAAGACTTTGCATCAGCTGCAACACAATCTGTTAATTTAGTGTTGCTAATTAGGCTTCTTGTGTTACTTGGGGAAGCCAATCATTTGAGCTGTTTGTGTACCACACTTTGTTGCTCCATCATTTAAGATGCATGACTTGTTCAGGATCACCACACCAGGGGCCAAACCACAGCCCAAAGACTGCAGGAGCTGTTCTTCTTCTCTCAGGGCCTGAGGGATCACGGGCCCCTGGACAGAACCGTCAGGAAGAAGGTGTGGAATGAAAGATTTCAAATTTCATTCAATTCAGAAAACAGATCCCATATTTGTATGTTGTAAGATGTATGTGCTAATATATTGTAAGATGTCCTTAATTATGTGATAGAAAAACATTTTAGGCCACCAGAGTGTTCCATTATCCAAAGTGAGTGTGGAAACAGAGCTGGAAATCACGGCGCACCTTAAAGTAAGTTTGGAAAATTAATTAATGCTTCAGAATCTATTTTAGTCTAATATTGGGTTCTGATAGATAAGTAATGACTATTCTTAGGATTATCAGGCTTAAACCATGTTTATTGTTCTTTATTGGATATATAGCCTATCAGAAAAAGTAATGAAGTAAAGACTGATAAAATATAAAAATGAATAATGGAAGTCAAATAATAATGAAATGCAGTTCATTTATACAATTATAAATAAATAAATAAAACAAATATGAAAATAAATTTAATAGAAAATGCATGTATGAAGATGAATGAACTATACAAATATTTTTGAAATAGGAAATAATAAAATAAAGAAAATGAATGGGAAAAAAAACAATTACAATTAAAGGAATAAGTAATGATTAATGATTATTCTTTATTTAAAATGCGTTGGATTATCAGGCTTAAATCATGTTTATAGCACTTTAATTATTGCATTAGTTAAAACTAAAGACTGATCAAAAATTGAAATCAAATGTAAAAGATTAATTGCAATTATAGAAAGACTTAATGAGTAAATAAAACAAATATTGAAATAAATATAATAGAAAATAAAATACATGTGTGAAGATAAAGGAGAAAAATATAAAAATATTTTGAAAAACAAAGTAACAAAATGCATAAAGAAAAAATAAAATAAAGACAGATAAAATATAAATATTAAGAAAAATGAAAATCAAATATAAAAAATACCACAATGGTCAAAAATCGAATGAAGTATTTTCTAAATTTGAGAAATTCCAACAAAGGAAGCTGCAAATTAAAATCATTAGTTAAATTATTACTTTTTCTCTGTTCCAGTACCATTTGCATCAGCGTCATTTGAAGGGAACCACTCAGAATTCGTCTCTTGAGGAGAAAGAAGCCGCAGTGTTTCAGCAAACGAGGTTCAAGGTTAGTATATGTTAACGTTTTAAGCATTTATTATAATTATATAATTTATGCAGCCATGATGTGATCTAACATACATGAATGAATTCTTCTTTGGTGTTAAAGGACCAAGCTTCGTCAAACGGTCCTCCTGATCTCCTGCAGAGCCTTGTGCCACTAGACAAGAAAGAGAAGGAAGAAAAAGAATACAAAAAGGAAAAGAAAGAGGGAACAGTAAATGCTCAAAATGCATCTTCATGTACGGACGAGGCCCCGGAGGGCCAAGGCTCTCTGTCTGAGGGACCATTTAGAGCTGCGGGTGTTGACTACAAACAAAGATCAAATGCAAGAGATCCAAAACTGCAAGATCATTCTTCTCCAAACACCTTACATGATGACAATATTTCATCATTACATTTGAAACACAGGAGATTCATGATCTATCTGTGTGGTGGATATAAAGGTAAGGTGGATATAGATTCTCTCAACAACACATATACTTTGCTAGATTGCTAGATTATTGAAACACACACACACACACACACACACACACACGTTTACTTAGCTATCTAAATGGGGACATTCCATAGGCGTA